TCCTTCGCTCCCAACGGCATCGTGACAGGCTAGACTCGTCTTACGATATGCGTTTTCTTTCCCACTCCCTCTACCTTACAAGCGTAGGATTGCACCACTGCAGGCCCGTCGTCGGTCGAGCATGGTGTGGACAGTAGGTAGCGAGCTCATGTGTCCTCTGTACGGCGGAGGTTCCGCTGGGTATCCGGCGTAGGAGCATCAGTATGCTGGCCGCTGCTGCGCCTCATTGACCAACACTAGCAAGTATATGCCCGTTGGATGTAGCAAGGAGGGATCTCAATCGATGTCGAGATTAGTGAGCTCTAGGGGGCCTACGATGGATTGATGTGCAGTTTTGCCCTCGATCTCAGCGGACGGGCGAAGATCCGGAAGGGGAAGTCTTTAGGACAGGAGGTAGCTGGTTATTTGCGGATATGTAGCCTGGTCTGGCTTTTAAGCTGGTCAGAGTCTCAAGACCTTGTTCCGCTCGTTTTGTGAGTAGAGCTTGGCGTACACCCACACCTAACAGTTCACATCCAAAGACCCGCAGGCGGTTGCAAAGGGAGGATACTGCGGCTTGCTGCCTAACCCAGCGACTCTTTCACGCAGTCAAGGTTGAACATCGAGGAGGATATGAGAATGCTCGCTTGAGTATGAAACAAATGTCAAATGTATGTTGGCGGGTTGCTTTACGGTCAAATTTATAACGATTTGCGACATTTAGTTCTGTACCTCGCCTGCTATCGTCTTCTGGGTTATCCGCTCACTTATTGATGAATAATCAGCACCACAAGTGATTCAGTAGAAAGCTGGATTTTAGTAAACGAGAATTGAAATGAGATTAACAAGAGACCAGAAGGCGTGTAAAAGGCCGCGCGAGACAGATCCGAGCCACAGGGCCTTATTGCATTTCTACCGCGCTCTGGATGACTGCCTCTGGAAGAGTGCCATTCAGGGGGTGTCATCGTGATGTCGTCCTGATCTTCGTCCCGCTCATCGACCCTTTTACTTTCCAGGCGTACCACGCCTAGGAGAACTTCTCGTAATCTAACCGTGGCCACTTCTTCTCCGAACGTCGAAATAATTTCCAACATAGCCTTATAATGCAACGGCACCGCATAAGTGATTATAATCATCATCGTAGACTCCATGTCTTCGCAAAGTCTCCAGACTCCGACTAGATGGGCCCACCCCTAAGACCCAGTACAGCCTCCCAACTCCCAACTCCTTCCGTAAGCGAAAGCATGGTGAAGCGCCCTTCACTTCCCCGACATCGACAGAGGCGAGAAGGCAACAACCATCATGCTGAGCTCACAGTGCTCCATATAGACCAGGAAGAAACAGAAAGAATTTCATCAGCCTTGGGTCCGCCGTTTCGCGGGTGATGACAATGCTCTTCACTCTTCCCAGTCCTACGACGATCCTTCTGCGATCTAGAACAGGGGCTGGGATCTTCATTCAACCTCTACCCCCTCCCATCGACCCCACGAGAAACATCGTTTGCCGAGAACTAGACGTAGGCAACACCAACTTGGCAAACCTCCGGCACCATTACCACACCCCCAAGCAGACAATCAGCATCATCTCCGTTGCCCCGTCGAACATCCAGAATTCGCCTGCCTAACATTCTTTCCGCGGGACATTACGGATAGTTGTTCACGCTGCCTCGCGCCTACATTAGACCTCGCGCATCTAGCTCACTGCAGGCAGCATTTTCACCTTCTTCTAGAATCCAAAGTGCGTCTGGTTCCGCCCCCACTCTGACAGAAGAGACCAACTGCCGTTCAGAACACTAGCAATCGATGGGTTTGGCCTGCCTCAACTGTACGGATATGGATCACCTACCACGTCTCACCTCACCTTTCCTGCCTCTGCTCTTCCATCTCGTGCATGCAGGCAGCAATCTTACCTCCTAGAAAATCTCCATCTCGTTCTTAACCCCTCTGCAAGCAAGAAGCATCCCAGTCTGGCTCCAACTGTACATGCGTCAAAAACGGGCCGAAGTAATACAACGCCCCAAGAAAGGAAGATGATCTTGGAAAAGAAACAGGGTGTCTTTACAGTGCTTCGATAGCAACCTGTGGTCCGATCCACTCGTGTACCGAGATGTACGAAGCTCGGGATAAGGTAAAGCCAAGTTTCCCTCTCTCGCTGCAACGGCTCGGAGTAAGCTTCAGGGGGAGCACGCGAGCATACATGCGCACTCTGGGAGTAGGAATCGTCGCTTTTCGTACGCTGAAAGAGCGTTTGGTTTGAAGCGAACCTTACACAGTCAGTAAGTAAACATATTCAACGAATAGAGACTAACATCAGTGACTACTGGGACGAGTAAACTTCTTCATGGCCAGCGTCAAAGCGAGGTCACATTCATCAACTTTCTCATTGGGCACACTAAGCGTGGATAAGTATCCGTACGGCAATACCTTGATCCAAGGCAACCATGAAGATAGGCAAGGTATCCAGCCATTCACATGTAACAATCCATTGACGGAGCCAGATGTACGTGCAATTCAAGAGTCTGCAGTCAGCGAGGATCATCTAGAACGAGTCTCCATGCCATCTAGGAATACCCTCCCGTCTCCCCTGTTCCAGGCTGATGCAACCGTATATGTCATGCGATCCTTCCCTGTCCCACCCAACTCCAGGCCAAAGCCCCCTCTTCCAACGCCTTGCCAAATGCACATTCTTCCACCATGTATTCTCACCATCTACATCTAGCTCTAGCTCTAGACCGCAAGCTCTGTGCGAACTCAACGCTTATGCATCTACAACCTCCCCGAACCAGGCGGCATCCGAATCCCCATCGCTGCCGCACCCCCAGCCCCAGGAACCCTCGCAGCAACCTCGTCCACACGCCCCTTTTGCAGACTGAACCCGGGTGTAACCCACCCGCCGCAACTGCACCGGAATCCCCGCCAGCTGTACCTCCCCACGGCGGCGCCGCACTTCTGATTCGGGCACGACAGCCGTCCCTCCAACGTCCCCTTCTCCAGCTCCTCCCTCATCCACCCCAGCGGCTCCACAAAGACGTGTCCGCACGGCTGCTGTTGCTGCCGCTGGTCCCTAGGGGCATCGGGCTCGTGATCGAGTACGAAGCGCGGCGTGGCCAGCGTCTTGCGACACTTTTTGCACCGCACCTCCATGCCCTTCACGCTCTCCGCCTCTTCCTTGCTCGTTTCCTCGTCCTCGAACCGCAGCTTTGTCGGTGCCTGACCCGCGGCAAGGCTCTCGTCAATCTCCCTCTGGAACTCCCACCGCTTGTAAATGGGGTGCGACGCCACGTCGTCAGGGCACCCCATGATCCACCACATCTCGAGTTGCTTTATGAAGCCCGGGTTCGGCTCCGCAATCTCTCGCGTATTGCGAACCCACTTCACGGCGGCGGCGACGGCGGCTGCAGCCCTCTCTTGCGCTGCTGCGGCTTCCTCAGCGGACTTGGGCGCCCCTCCTGATGCTCCGTTCTGCGCGGCGGCCGTCGAGGCCGCGGACCTGCCGAAGCGGGAGGGGTGTTTCCAGAGGAGGTAGGCAACGATGGCAGAGACGGAACGGGACTTGCCCATGGCACAGTGGACATAGACGCCGCCTGGGGCATTGGGGTCCGGCTTCTCCCCGTCAGAGCTGAGATCCAGCTGCTCGAATAGGGGGGCGGGGAGGATGGCATCCGGATCTGTGGGCTTCGCCGCTGCCGCCGCCGCTTTAGCCGAGGCAGCCTCCGTCTCAGACTCAGACTCGGTCTCCAAATCCTTGGCCACAGCCGCCTTCAAGCGCTTGGCCTTCTCCTCAAAGCTCTTGTCTTTCTGGGCCTCCTCTTCAGGCCCATCCGTGACGCTCTTCTTGCTGCTGCCGGGGTACAGCGCATCCTCGATGAAATGGACGGCCTTGGGCAGGTGAACGAGCAGGTCCTCATCCTCGACATCGTCGATGTCGATGACCATGTGCTTGTAGCTCTTTCCGTAGTTCTCCCAGGTGTCGGTCTCGCTCTTGAGACCGGCCGGGTCGAATCGCAGCACAGACAGAATGTGGGTGATGTTGCGCTCCTTCAGTGCTGAAGGGCGGCGCAAAGCCCATATGCTGGTAAACAACGTTAGTGAGCCTCACAGTGAAGATGACGACGGAGATAATGTGTCTCACCCGCCGACATAGAGCTCCTCCTTGCCATCGATACGGTTCATCGCCATTTCGACGCAGCTCTTCTTCAAAAGTCGGTGTAAAGCTTCAGTTTCCTCGCTGCCTACAGGCTCGCCTGTGTAGATCTCTAACGTATTGGTCGGCGCTTCTTTTTCCTTGGGGGGTAGCACCTGCGCCGCGTCCTGCAATGCCGTCGTGGTCGTGGTCGTGGTCGTCAAGCTTGACTCGATCTCTTTCAATCGCTTCGTCACGTCCTCGGTTGAAATGTGGCCACGGACCATGCGAATGGCTTTATCGATGAAGGGTTCAAAGGGCAGCTTGGCACAAGATACATGAGCGTAGTATGGTAGTGAATGACGGTGTAAGTTTCCCTGCTGTCTACGGATGGATATTGGTGTGTGACCAAGAGAGAAAAGGGAGAAGGGGGAAACGAAAGAGTCAATGTCGGTGTCCCAAGCCCAAGAGCTACCAGAAAGACAGACCCCTCTCGCGTGCCAATCTCAGGATGCGACAAACGCTGGTGGTAGTGGTTGGGTGGTGGTGACGAGAATGACGCAGTTGTGCTTGTGGCTCGGCCTGAAGTTGCTCTAGCTTTGTTTCCCAGAATACTGCCGTTGCCGAAAAGAGCCAAGCCTCCACCTTTGTTTTCGTCGCCTCAGTCGTTGTGTTGTACGTACCCTCGTTCCCTCGTGCTCTTGGCTCCTGCCACTCGGCCGTGTGGTGGAAAGAAATGTCCGGCGTCCTGTTCCCTCGTGCCTGCGGTGTGGCCCCCCTTTCCCCCGCCTCAGGTCCAGGTCATTTGCCCCTTCCCCTCAGGGCACTTTCCCATGCCTACTATCTATTGTTACTAAGGTAGGGTACATTGGCATATTGGGTAAAGACAGAACAAAGCCATGCGCCACCGCCACATCTCTCTGTGGCTCATAGGGCTGAGATCATGTGACTTTCTGTCAACCGGCGGCCTCACCGCGGCATGCCGAATTGCCGTTGATGAAGCCTTATGGCGACTTGGCGTTTACACAGAGCAAGGTACCAGAGCATGTGTTTGTTCCTTGCTCAACAGACACCAACATGGGGTACTCCGTACTGTAGCTACTCGTAGGCTGTAGCCAGCTGTGGATCTGATCAGGTCTTCATTGACTGTCAGACTACCTTCCTCTTGATCCCATCATGCCGATTCGGAAACCAAGTACTCAACCACATCACATAATTACGAGAAAGCAAATCTAAGCCAGGGACATGTTATGGATGGAAACAGTAACTTGTTCGAGATTTGGTAACTTTTTATTCTTTTCTCACTATTGTCCAACCTGTGTGCCCTGACCCTACAAAATACATTGCTAGCTTGAACTCTTCAGTCTGGCTGAAGGATGTGCTGCATCTCTTCTAATACCAATATCATTTCATCGTATCACCTCCCCACCACTGACTGGCCCGATCATGCCTGGTATTTCCTCCAAATGGAATGCGCGCAACAGACAGCTTGCAGATATGTTTCTGGTGCCTGAAAGCCCCTCATGGCAACCACCTATACTCCAAAGGCCCCAAAATATGGGTGCTTCCAAATGGCCAGCCCATCAAACCCGAGGATGCTGCCCACATGCTTCAACAAAATGCTTTTGATTTTTTCTTTTTTGTACGGCGCATGGCACTGGCAAGGGAATTGCTAACCAGACCGTGGCGTTGGATGTTTCTCGACATGTTCCGCTCGGCCCCGTGCGTCAACGGCCGTCTTCATCTTGACTGCTTGTACAGTCTCAAATCGTTCGCTCGCATTCGGTGTATTAGTTGGACGCATCCGAGTAATGTCGCGCTACGCGCCCCGGACATTTGCGTTCAATGAATGGCCAGTCAACCAATGCCATGGTCTCCAACGAATCATCGGTAAGTCGAGCTTGGGAGCTTGGCTTATGCTCATCTCGGAGTAGGATCTTCATCCAGCATGCAAGCATTTTCCAGCATGTTCGTCCATTTGCCGCTTGTGCCTGCGTGGCTATGCTTAAGATGCTGCCGAAAGTGATCTGCGCGGAAAAACTTCTTGCTGCTGTTGCACTCCCTGAACTTGTGTACTTCTTGGAGATGGCGAATGCGCTCTTCCCAATCCTGGTCGGTAGCGTGTCGCGGTGCGGAAGCACCAGGGCCTCTCCCGTTTCTAGGGAACTCCTCACCACAGTAGCCACAAGAGTCTGCTTCACCGGGGCGATTGGTACTGTCGTGGAACGCACGATCATAGCCATTCAGGGCTGAGCAACTCCAGCTGTGTCTGCGAACATGAAGACTATTCTGGTGGCGTTCGGCCTCATTCTTGTTCTTGAATCGATTTCCGCAGAAAGAACATTCATACTGCTTCTCGGCTTCGTGAGACCTGTTGACGGTTAGCGAAAAGCTTCTAATATTTGCAGGGTCGGTACTTACGCCAACTCCTCAGCCGACTCAAATTTCTTGGGTTTCTTCGGGCAACAATCGCACATGAAGAATCCCGAAATTTTGGTTCCACCAGGCTTGCTCACCTCCGTAAGCTTGCGGGGAGAAGCGAGAGGCCGGCTTTCGCTAATGGTCCGCTGGTGGGGTGCCCTGGAAAGGGAACCGCGAGGCGAGGGGTTGAGCGACATTGATGCACTGTAGGGAGAGCTGCAGCTGGGGTCGGTTCCGCCGGGCGAAATTCCACCTGGGGAAAGGCCCCCTGGAGAGACTCGGCCAAACGACGACGAGCCCATGCTGGTAATGCTCCCGGTGAGTAGTGATAGGTTAGAGCTGTAAGACCCTGCGCGACCGGATGGCGAAGAGATTGATCCTTGAGGGATGACACTCAGTCGAGGCGTGGGGGATCCTCTTTGGTTTCCATCGCGACGGCGTAGCAAGTCACTCTGGGTGGTGAAACCAAGTGGTACGCTGTCGTCGGGATCAGCGGATGCACGGCGCTTCGCCCCAGCACCATCGTAGTGTGCTCTCATGGGATCCTCTATCCGCAATCTCTTCATAGAATTGGTCTCCTCCATTTCCATCTCCTCCACTTCGTAGCTGTGCGATGATGCATCGTCGCTGTTATTCCTTCTGGTGCGAGTAGGTGGTGACCTGTCGAGGTCGGAGACGGACCGAGGTGACCTATAGTCCTGGCCGAGATGGAATGGCTGGCTTCTAGGGGAAGGTGAGAGGGCAGAGTGAGGAGTCTGCGTGTATCTGTCGGGAGAGTCTAGTAGGTTTGACGTCTTGAGGTGCAACGGAAGACTGGTGGGCACGGAGAGTGGCGGTACCCGCATGTCGCCAGAAAGCCTCCTCGAGAAAGGGTCGCTAGTTGATGATGTGCTTGACGCACTGAGGAGTGAGCCAGGCGGCTTGTTATCGAACGTCTTTAGGGGAGCGAGCTTCTTCTTCATGTCGGTGAAAGCGTCGGCGCCAGACTGGAACTGGAACTGGTTGTGGTGCAGACCAAACCCGGCCGAGATGCTCGGCAAGGAACATTCAGATCTATCAATGTGAAAATGTTAGATGGGCACCCAAAATCTCGACACTCTCAAGTTCTTTTCTTCTAGAACCAAACTAGGCCCGATTGAACGGTTGGGGATTTCCTACCTTGTGGAAGCCGAAGCTGAAGACGAACCCATGCTGGCATAACCCTCATCGTGCCTGTAACCGGACCTCATGTAGTGTGGCCTGTCATCCAAACTTCCCAAGCTGTCGTGGTAACTATGTTCTCTAGGGCTGTATGATGAGGGATCGCGGTAGTGTTGTCTGGGCTCCTGGTGATGCATGTGAGGATCGTCAAAGGGAAGTCGTGGTGGTGGTAAGGGCGGCGGTGCGTTGATTCTGTCTCCGGAACCTGGGATGGCCACAGAGGAGGAGTAACTGCTAGAGTCGAAGCGGTTTGAGTCTCTTGGGTTTGAGTCTATAAATATGCTGGGAAGACCCGCAGGCTCCCTGTATCTCGAAGGTGCCTCCATGATGTCGGTTTGTATCTGTGCAGTTGCTGGCTGAGGATTGACAATTCCAGCTGAAGCGGCGCCACTAAGGTTTATAGTGACGGAAGCACGGGCGTCATGAGTGATGGGCCGGGAAATATCTAGGGTTCTGATCGCGGTGGGATACGAGAAGCGTCCGAGGCCAAGGCGGTCGTCTTGGAGGCCGTGGGTGGCGATGGCAGTCGGGTTCGCCGTTGGTTGAGAACGGGGGCCAATGCAAGCCGAGAATGGCTGTCTCTGTCGGTCTCTCTCTCTTGCGTCACGCAGCGGTCGGGGCCGAGAGGAGACTGAAAAAGGAAAGACAAGACTAGACGGAATCGAGCAAAGCGGCGCGAGTCGTAACGTGGAAGAGGGAAAAGTAGCAGACGTCGATGTGGTTGGACTGGATGTACAATTGTTGAGTCCGGCGGTCTAATCGCGGGACAAGCAGAAACAGATCAGGTCCGGACGGCGTCGAGGAATGCGAGGAGCAAATGTTGTCGGAGGAAGCAGAGTGGCCGGAGCTGGGGTGGGTAGAGTTTACATCCGTAAGTCAGGTCAGGTCGTGGGGGGGAGACGACAGCTGAAATAAGAGGCGATTGTGTGACGACGCCAGCTGCTGTATAAATAAAAATAAAATAAAATCGACACCCCCAGGTATGGCAAGGCGAAAGAGGCGACTAGTACTTATGAAAAAAAAGGCGGGAGAACGAGTCGAGTGGAGGAGACAGACCTGGTCAAGGAGAGGAGAAGAGAAGGGGGTGGAGGGGGAGCCCAGGGAAGCTGTCGGCAGCGTCAAGCGAAGCTCCAGCGGCAGCAGTAGCGGTATCCGTAGGTAGCGGTATTCGTAGCGGTAGCGGCCCAGGGACCCAGATGGAGGCACATCCAAACCTCCAACTTCGGCGTAACGTGGATTGGAGAAGAAGCCCCCGGGTGGTTCCTTTTTACCCCCAGCAGGGGCAGTAGCAGGGGATACTGAGAGACAGAGGACAGCCCAGGCAGAGAAGAGACCTGACTGAGAGAGAGAATACCTGATACCCTAGCTTAGCACGCCTACTGTGAACGGATACACTAGGTCCTGAAGTATCCTTAGCCCAGGGCCTTACAGGGCAGGGCAGAAGAAGAGGAGGTGGAGAAGAGGAAGGCCGAATGGAAGACAAGAAGGGAGGGGTGACGGGAATGATTTGATGGGTGAACTTTGGAAGAGGGGGTGTATGTACTAAGTAGAGGGGGAGTGGTGATAAGGAAGAGGGGGGGGGGGGTGAATCTCTCTCGTTGACGGGTAGAGTAGCGGGACGCTTGTTCGGCGAGCAGCCCTAAAAGGAATAGGATGCGGATGGGGACTGGCTAGTCATACACCAGGGAACCACGAGCACGACGTTGGGCGTGTGGCTGTTTCTTGTAGCCCGTTGAGTTAGTGCCATGCAAGCACATAAGCAGCAATGCAGCCCTGTCTGTCAACTTCTTGTCGCCCTTCCTTCACGCTGCGTCGGGGTGTGGGTAGCACCTAAGGTAAGGTAGGCAAGGTGGTGTAGACTAGGTATTCGTAGCGGTAATGGTTGTAGGGAAGGGGGTTGTTGCTCGGATCGAGCGTTCGAGGGGAAATGGAAGAGAGAAGGAGGGCTGGGGACGGAGAGTCATGGGGGTGACGGAATGAGGTGCGTTGATGTTGATGCGACCAAGGCCACCCAGGCGATATAAGCATAGATAGCTCAAGGTGTATATGTGCGTATATGTGTGTGCGTGTGGTGTGTATGCCGTGCTGTTACTAGCCGCGTGCGTGGGCTACCTTGAATGGGCAAGGTGAGGCGATGGACCTAGAAGGCTCGAGGAAGCATCCGAGTCGGATCGAGTTGTTGGAGGAATCGGAGTGCGTCAAGGACGGCGGGGTGAGGAATGCAGTAATTTGTCTTCCTTGGTGATATTCGGAGAGGTGTGGGTAATAAGACGGCGGTGATGGCGTGCGGCGTGCGGTGTGCGGCGAGCCGTGGAGTCTAGACGGCGTCCGGGTCGTGTCCTTTGCCCGGTGCTAGTCTCCTGACGTACGAATACGGTATTCGTAGGTAATCAATAGTAATATGCCTTATGAGCCAAGGGAATCCGCAGGTCTGGGTCCGTCCGGACGAGGGCCGGGGGAGCGCAACAATGGAATGAAGAACAAAAGAAGTCGAGAATGGGATTGTGTCCGGGCGGTCTGGCAGGTGTCGCGACGGAACCTCGCTCGATTCAGCAGAGACGTGGAGGCACCTGAGTAAGAATCAGCACAGAACCTGACAAAAAAAGGTACGAGTTGTAGGTGAGAGAAAGCAAGGCAGTCAAAGTGCCTTGCGTTCAGGTGGATGAATACCTAAGGTACCTAGGTAGGTAGGTACTTTGAGGTAAAGTAAGGTGTGATGAAGACTGCCTCGACGCTCGCTCCGTGCGCGAGATGGAATGGCGTGTGAAGAAAGACCAAGGCGGGAATGCAGCGCATTTGAGGTTTCGTGGTCCGACTGATGAGATGGAAGTTGGGAAATCATCCCGAAGCCGAGGACGATGACCAAGCAGCGTGAGGTGAGCTGTTCAGCTGTTGGAGCATTTGTTTGCTACCTGCATGTTCCTGTCGGACCAAGTCATCAGGTAAGGTACCTACCTAAGGTAGGTAAGGTAGGTAGGCACGATTTGGTAGGTACCTTCCATGCGAATTGATACGAAGAATTACATTACACGCATCATCTCAAGGGAAGAGGACAGGCAGAAGTGCTGCTGCCTCTTGCCCTCCTCATCGTTACATGTCCACCTTCCCTTTCTCCTTCCCAAATCAACGCAAATTCCCGTTGACGAAGCCACATGCATCACGAAGTGGGTAGGCGTGAGAACTATCCGCAAGGCAGGAACGATGCGCATCGACAATGAAAGAGGTACCGCACGAAGCGATGAGCACAGATCCATACCTTAGCTAAGATAGGTACCTTGGATACCTTTGGCGTAACTTCCCTTCCGTAGGTAGACACGTCGGTGAGGCAAGTACTCCGTACGGATACAGCAGGCACGAACATTCAGGTTGGCGCCAAGGCCAAGGAGGAACTGGAGGAGTCAGGAAAAGCAAGAGGGGAAATGATGCGAAACGGGACTTTGGTGGATTTGCATCTCGCTTTTGCATCTTGCAGCCTTTGGGCTTCACTTAAAGAAAGCTACCTAAGACTAAGGCACATTTGGGTTGCCCGAGTTGCCTGCCTGGGTAAGCAATGAAAAGTAAGGTCGGTCGGGCTTAGATGGGGTCTGATGCTGAGCTCATACTGATGCTGATGCTGATGCTGATGCAAAAGAGGCAATGGATGACCTTGCCTTGCTTGCCTCATTGCAGGCATAGAAGTTGCAGGTGTAGAAGAAACACACAAAGTGCATATCTCAAGTGCCACAAGCATCTTGAGGCAGCGGGGTGAAGGATCTCGCAACGGTCTCTTGGGCTCTTGAACAAGTGCTTAGATAAGCTGGGTGGGGTCCTTGAGAACCGTAGGTACTCCGTACTCCGTACTTCATCAGGTCTTGCCCATCTCACCCAAGAAAACACGACCGAGGGAGAAGCTATCAACCATAAGGTAAGAAACGTACCGCATTGCGCTACCTACTTGTGGTCCCTCACAGGCTCACGTCGTGATTCCGTCCGTCTCTCCGTTGAAAAGAGGAATGCGTGTGCAGTGTGCTCCAAAGATGCAAGTCCAAGGCGACACAGGGCAGAACAGGGCAGAAAGCGGGTTCCGTTGAATCATTCCATTTGCTGCGCGCTCCCGGTGCGTCCCTCCCGCGGTCCAGTGTCGTGGCTGCAAAGATCAGGGGTATCCGATCAGGATTAGCGCGGGTCCACGACGACGGGGTAGCACCGCATGGTGGCCCGTGGGAGGGGAGAGAGAGCAGACAAGGCAGGCGCAAGGGTCTCCGAGAGCAGGGCAAGGACCACGGCTCTCTCGACCTTCTCGTGCTTCCTTCCAAACAAATATCCCAAGTATCATCAACAAGTCCACTGCCCAAGCTAAGGTAAGTCCCTCGAGATACAATCCTGGCGTTCCATTCTGTCTGCTCGTTTGTTCTTTGCAGCCAAGAAGCGCATTACGCGTTTGGATACTATTTCGGCGAGGTATCTTGAGTCTCATTTCCTCGGTACTCCTACCCGCAGAGAGGCCTTCTCTGCAACCGTTCGGATAGAGCGCCAGTGTGAGGTATTTGGATGGAAAAAAGAGTCAGAGTCTGGAGACAAGGGCTGCTCGGTAAGGCAAGGAGGAGGAAGAAGAAGAAGAAGAAGAAGAAGAAGAAGAAGAAGAAGATTGAGTGGAAGACTGGAAGGCCCTGAGGGCATGGGGAAGGAACTTGGGACGGGGGGGTGAAAGGGTGAAAGGGGTGAGCACTTTCAGGATCATGTTCTCTGCCCAGGCATACAGACCTCAGGGCGTGCGCTAAGCGAATGGCTACTATACACACACCCCAGCATCTAACAGAGCAAGGGGTATGGAAGGAAAAATGAGGGTGTAGAATTGAGCCCTGCTGGCCCTGCTGGCCCTGCGCCTACCTCCCACACACGGGAAGGCAGGAGCGAGGGTGGGATTGGCACTGGGGAACCTGATGGACCAAGGAGAATGGATCGCTCCGATACGTACCTTGCCTCGGACCTCAGGTTGAACCTAACGTAACCCAATGGGAGACGAACTACAAAGTGCAGACTCCCGTCGTACATAGAGACCACCTCAGGCGGCATAGAGATACCCAGGCAAAAAAGGTACCTTGGTCTGCAGCACACACACCTACAGATGGCATCCGACAAATTTAGAAAGACAAGTACGCACTCACCACTCTTTCCCATCCATCTCAGTCAGCAGCTTCCTGTAAGGTTACTAAGGGGCCAAGGTAGCAAGGTAAGGTAGGGTAGGTTCCCAGCTCCAACATATGGTACTACGCCTACCTGCCTCTGAGACAGGATAGTAACAACGACGTACAGGGAAGGTGTGCAGAGGGAACCTCACCTTCCGCGGTTCCTTGGTTGACTAGAATAGAAAAGAGAGCACCATTAGCTAAGGAAAGGGAAGGTAGGCACGAAGGATAGGTACCCTGGTACATGGGCATTTTGGGTGAGGGTACCTTACCTTACCTCGCCTTACCTAACAGAATAGTTGCATCATTCATCACTTCTTCTCGCTTTTGCCTTCCATTGGGTTGCTGTTGCATTCAGGTTACAATCCACCTCCCTACACTACATCACCTTCCTGTGCACCGTTCCGACCATGTCGAAATTGTCGTCGTCGTCGTGCGGCATGTCAGTGTCATTGCGCTGCAGTTCCTGTCCTCCCATCTTCTCGTCTCATTCGGCCAAACGATGGTTCAAGACCCCGAGTGGCACCTCTCCACAACCTCACCTCTCTGCCTTACACCGTTTGACCGCAGTCTACACTATCCGCACCGCACCGCACCGCGGCGCACCGTAATGACTGCACCCTATCGAGGCAAATTCCAAGGTTCCAAGTTCCAACCCTACGCCTTGCTGCACCTCCGCTGTCAACTCCAGACCCCCCTCCCATCCAGCCCAATCCCGCCTCATCCTGGGACAACGCTTGTACGACCTTGCCTCCCCGCCACAGACAGGCCGACAGACTGACTCCCCAGTCCGGCGTTCAACCGCCGCTACTTTGGCTCGTTCCACCATCACGATGCTATCTTGGAGCTGCCTTGCCACTCTTCACTCCAGGCACAGCAAAGCAAACACCCTCAACGATGCTCGGTCTCATTAACGCAGACATTGGCATTGTTCCCAGCCATCACCTGTTGTCTGCGGCACTGCTGCCCCCGCCATTAACTTCGACCTCACCGCATCTATCAATGACCTCCTCGACTCGAACCGCCTCCACACAGGCATGGATCTTGAACTATTCGTACCCCTCCCTGCAGTTACCCCACCGCCAATCACTGCCATCAGACACCAGGGTACTCCACGCCGCACCCATCTTATCTTCATAACCTCATACAGGTACACTCACCACCATACGTACCTACATTATGTGTCTACGCTGCGAACGAACATACTCAAAGTCCCTGCACTCTGTACGTCCGACAACACAAGGCAATCGGCTCCATGTGGTTTTTGTTTTTGTCCGACATTGGCAAGAAGCAGTTCCAACCGCCATCGTCGCCTCTTTTGGTGACCATCATTGATTGCAAATATCGTTTTGGGTCGGTATCATGCTCTGTCTCTTGTTCAGAATTGCTATAGGTGCTTACCGAAAATCGGAACCCACTCACTCAATCTCCGCAGATTTTTGATCAAATGCCTACGGAATAGGTGCAAAATTGAGGGCCCTTGATGCCACTATTTCCAAAGTCCCTTCCACTTTAGCCAAGCAGGCAGAGAGCTACGGTGCCAATGCCGAATATTGGCGCCGTCTCGCCGAGCAAGCTTATTTATGTGCACTTATTTGTTACAACCTCTCCACAGCGTATTCACAATCAGATATCGATAGGCACCGCAACAATCTTTGACAACGGAATAGCTCTCCAAACAACGAGTGGACAACCACCAAAAGACAACTCGGCTTGCGGACTGACAAGCTCACAATGGCAGTGCCTCATTCTCAACTACAGAAGCTTCAATATGGCAAAACGTAATTTCCACGGTCTAAAGCCTCCGGCCGGGTTTGGCTAACTCGACGATCTCCAGGTTGCGTCGCTGCTACTGCTGCTGCTTTTCGCATCTCGATCTAACCACATCGATCTTCCCGCAGCCGCTCAGTCTGCCAAGCAAGCCCGCCTACGCGAAAGATCTCAAATCCGTGGTCGCTTTTAGCACCTTCAGTCTCGGGGTTCAGATGCGCGGTCAGCCTGCCAGGCCGGCCATCTCTTGACTGGGCTGTGCACGTCGGCACTTAGTCCTAGCAGCCAATCATGGGAACGAAGAGCGTCGGGGATTTCGCCGCCAAACCCTCCTCTCATTCCGCCGTTGCGCTGCAGCTCACCGTTTGCATGTTCATGCCAATCAGTCAGTCAAGGCCCGCTTGTCGCCCGACTGAGCACGGCACACCCACAGCGATACAAACGCACCGCTTGGTTCAGGATGACTGTGTTTACGAGCGGATCCTTGGCCAATCTTGACGCTCAAAATTGCGTCAGCCTTCTCCTCTTGCGACGACCACGACAACGACGACAGAGCATAACTCTGTCACCAAGGAATAGCTGTCTCGCCATTGGTCTTCAACACGGGACGTCCTTTTGGTCCAAGCCAGCTTCCGCTGACTTGCCTTGCGGAGGGCTATTCAGTTCTCGGTATTCACCTGTCGGTTCGGGTCATTCTTTCACGCTCTCTCTGCGATCAGGTGATGAGTATCACATCATTACTCTTCAAACTAGGACACCCAAGAGTCCGTTAGAACGAGCTAAGACGTACGGATAGCTTGCCCGGACTTCGTACAGGCCTCGGTTTGCTCCGTTTGGAAGGGTGGCCCCTGTCGAGATCCGAAGTATTGGACGCTATTTGGATTTCTCTCCCGCTACTGGAAAGTAGGGCGTAAGGCCCCAAGTTTGACGAGCCGCCAGCTGCCCCTTGTTGGCAACGCTGAAGCACCGACAGCGTCAGTCTTTTCGGACCACATTCCATCTTTTGACTAAGCGCCTACAGCCCCCCGCCGGCGCATGGCTGAAAGCCTTCGCACCTTCTGCCGCCTTGGGTTCTGGCCATGGCTTTGAATACCAAGTGTTTGCGAGTTCCATTCCCCGTTCCGTCATTTAGGGCTGACAATGATGCATTTTCCGAACCGTGCCGGTACGGGCACCAAAGTATTGTCAGACAAATGGCCCTACCCTCCGTGAAAGGCAAGACCGCCGAGGGTCCGGGGAGCTAGTAGCATTTCCCACAGAGACTTTTAGGGCAGCCCTGCATGCCCACGTTTTGCAGGAGAGTACCGTAAACCCTCTCAGGCAGACCAGCAGTATCTCCTGGCCCTATCAGGCTGGCAGGCTGACGTCTATCCCCGTACCTGGAGGCTGGTGCGCCTTACCCAAGATGCCGGGCAGCCCAGTTCGCCACCAAGCTCCCTGGGTATTGAATGGTACAACCGAGTGTTATATTAACGAGATACGAAAGTACTAAGGTTGCGATAGATGGACAAGAAGAAACAACCACGCCAAGGATAACGTCTGCTTGTTGTTAACGGGAAGAGGCATGCTTTCCTAGCAGACGGCCATCGAGGAAGTCCGGGCCTGGACGTTGGCTCCCTGCGCATTTCCTTCTTAAACGTTCGTACGTACGGATACACACACCACCACCCTTGACAGAGCGGGGAGGGTCGTGGTCCGGGCTTTGCAGCGAGGTTTACAGCGTGCGTTGTCATTCCCTTTCTGGCCCATTGGCAGGCCCAAGACACCGGCGGCCGCGAGCGATCTAGGCCATCCCCGTCTGAACTCGAGTACCCAATTCTGCGTGCGCAGTACTGATCACCTTACAACCCACACAGTTCGGCGTGTGACGACCAAATATGGTGATTCTGCCAGGTCCTGTGCCTTCATCGGACACTACCGCTATGCCTACAGATGCAATCGTGGTGATACCGAATCTCGCCAACGAGGCCGAGCTCGCTTTTGTCCGCGGATAAGTTACTCACGGCGGCGAAGAGGCTCCCCAGACGCTGTGATCTGGCAAAGTGTGGCCTGTGACATGCACTGGAACATGCTATTCGCCAATCATGAAGAATGATTCCAAACCGGGAGACGCGTTAATAGAAGCCAGCGTCGCTTCCATTCAGCTCGCTTACAATCGTGCAGGCTAGCAATCAACCAGACTTTGCTTACGGTCACATTTACGCTACGCAAAGCCAGCCACCCGTTGTCCGCCACTGAAGGGAGGCGTCTGACCCTACTTGCTGCGGAGTCTTCTCCGAAGACCACCTCGCAATTCCGCGAAAGGGGAGAGTGACATTTGAGTTTTCGGAATCTTGCGCTTTCACTAGCTCTGACTGGCGCGAGACTTGTGGCAGTTGGCCATGTACGGTAAGCATGACAAAATCTCATGCTCGCACGCTCAAAGCCCTTCCCTTCAGTGGATAGTGGCTTTCTTCGGTGCACCACTTATCAACGACTGCGCCGCGTCCGTCGATAGTCTGTCGATGCCCAGGCAGAGTCGTGCTGGAGCGTTTCGGAACGAATCGAGTACGAATACCCCGCACCGTAGGCGGTTTGATTTTGGAGCATCGGCAAGGTGGGGGTAGAACGGGGCCAATCGGCTCCGATGAGGGTTTCCCTGCTGCCCTGCAGTTCAAATCTCCACGCTGCAGCTCCAATGCTCCATACCCTGATCATGTCAACCAACGATCCAAGAACAACAACAACAATAACAAACGGTCAACGAGGTTGGATTCTGGAGACAGGACATGTCCCAAGCGCACGTGGGTGATGGTTCATCTGACGAGTCATGCAACGACTCGAACCCTCATCACATGCAAACCACATACGGATGGACATTGTTGGAACATTCATCAGCCACAACAAGACAGCTCTGGCGCGCTTGCCAATCCAAGAAGGACGAATACCTACTGGTTGAGTGCGGAATGTTGGCTAGAGCCCGTCTGCCTTTGGATAGACTAGGACGGTATGATGGCGGAAATCCAACCCCAAAGCCACCTCCTCAGCCCTACACCGTTTGGGCCTCGCTGCCGCGGCTTGCTTAGCTTCGTGCCTCCAACTTGGCGTCTGTCTGTCGGCCTGTCGACAGGGGTATCCGTACTCCCTCGTGCCCCAAGCGGAATAGGGCGTAGATCCTGCTCGCACGAGCCACTCCAACACGCTTGCGTGGGTTCAACATGTATCTGTACGGAATACTTAGTCAGGACCCGGACAAGGCCGTGAACACGGATTTCACCAATGTCGAAGCAAAATGCTGCAGCAATAGAACTTTCTGCAGGCTCATTGCCATTCGAAAGTGACTAGAGAATAGGTACTCGGATTCTGGAGGTATGGTTGCATTTTCGACCAGGAACGAGACAGCTCTACTCATACTTTGTACGTCAAGAAAGCTTCGAAACTCGGACTGACGTTTCCAAAGCCTACCTCACGTCGATCTAGCACTCACGGCCGCGAGGACGCCGATGGTCCGGCTACTTCTGTGCGTTCTGCTCTAATGAGAGGGTCTAGTTCGAATCCAGGTCGACTTGCGAATGGCGTTCGCTGGGCAGAATAGACATACGCCGCCGGGATACATGAAGATAGCGCAGCCAGATTGGCGCCGCATTACGGGGCTACCACGGACGTAACCAGCATAATTTCGACGATTTGGAAAACATTGCAAAAACTATGTTAACCTTCAGCGAGGCTTATACAAGTTTGTAGCTATTCGAGCAACGATATCGAGTTGGAGGCTTGGCCTCTTGAACTGACCGAGCCGGATTGCACCACTGTGCGCGATGGCAGAAAAGCTCTTGCTAAGGACACGCAGCGCCTACATGTTCTGAATCAACATTACCGCAGGCTATACTCGGGAAGCTTTCTGGGAGGCACTTTGGACGAATCTCGTGGACCATCACTGCGTGTCCGAAGTGATGAAGTGCGTACGGATACGATTGCAAATTCGATGCAAATGGGACATATGGACAATGGCAGGTACTGAACGAACCGGGATGCCGATTGAAAGGCCTAAAGAGGACAACGACCCCAGACCAGCCATCTCGAGAACCCCAGAGCGTCGCCACTGAACCTCAAACCGCCGCCGCCAGACGCCAGTGCTTCATCGCCCCTCACAGACTGCACGTCACCAGAGCCCGCGACTCATATTGAGCATCTCCACATTTCCACCGAGAGCACCGAGATCACGGGCGGAAACACACCTCCTAATCCTATCAGACTTGGAAGGCAGGAACGCTTACCCCATTGTCAGAACTCAGAATCCTACCGAGTATGAAGAATCAACAATGAGGCTCTTTGCTACTTCTGGTATCTCAACTCGAAGCCTTTCAAGGCCTCCATGTCCGCCCTGTGCCTTTTCAAGGGGCCTCATTGGCCATTATCATGGTGTGACACCGTTGGAGATGCAAGGCAAAGGGGCCGGACCTTGGACAGCTGGAATTCCATGCCTCGGCACATTCAGACCCAAATCCTAGGGGCCTGTGGGTTCGGACGTCCTGATAACTGGAGATTGGGGGAGAACTGGAGAATGAAAGAAGGCTGTGCAGCGCAGTGTAATGGAGCTTGATGGAGTCGCTCCGATGGGTGACAAGGCGATGGCTTCCGTATTGGAGCGACCCCCGAGTCCCGTCATCCAATGGGCCATCCACGACCAGAATGGCATGAAACATTGCCAGGCTCGCCAACCCATGCAGCCATCCCCGAAAGCCCAAGCTTTCGTCTACTGCACTGCACACATAGCGTACGATTCAACCACCCAAAAGCTCCAGTCCGTCTCCTGTGATCTAGTGTATCCTCCCATGAGTCCCATGGCACCTGTCTTGATTCAGTACCCGGACACCCGCGGGGGGAGCCTGGCACACCCATTCACTCAACTGGCAACAAAATGGAGCTTGGCTATGCCTTACCCCTTAAAGGCTGCAACTGCCGAAGCCTCGCAATTGGCGTTTAGGCGCATGACTTCCCTACGACTCAACGAAGGGGACAACGAAGGGGACCACGACGTTCAGACGGCATGAGCTACTTGTACACTTGATTGCGAACGAATACGTACGCTGAGATCGCCCATTTTAGTCACACGCCATGGGCTAAGCATGTCTTCCTCAGACTGGGGCCTCCATGACACTTCAATAGGCCATTGGAATTTGCGCCACAGCTTCTCAGCCACGGGGTGTGAGTGCAGCTGCTAGCCTCTCCGCAAGGCTCGATGCCCGCTATACCTACCTCAATACCTACCTACCATGGCTTTCGATTCGTGTTCGAGACGAGTCACTAGGCATGGGATCAGCCGAGTCAGAACCACTATCCGTACGGATACAGAGTAGATGGCTTTGGTGCCCAAAGCTCCTGTAGAACATAAGCACACCGAAAGAAAAAAAACTCACCTCGGCGAGAACGAAGCTCATCTCTACTCCATACCTCTCTGTGCCTCCTTGCACGCCAACGGGTCTTCTTACCCACTTCGACTCTATCCATGGAGAATTTCCGTTTTCTGCTCTCACGGTGTGCTGACACGATATCGAAATCTCAACAGTCAATCCTATAATGCAAAAGAGAGTCGAGGTTTAACGGTTCAAACTTTCAGGTCTTGCAAGCCCCAGCTAAGGATCCAAGACAAGCAATGGGAATCAACAATCCCAATGTCCGTAGGGCATCAGACCCCCCGCCGATCTTTGCTGTGGGCCGAACAAGATCTGCCATTCTAGCGGCCAAGCTCAGATTGCTCAAGAGCGCGTGCGGTGTCTACACCCTCTTCACCTTGAAGCGATCCAATGATGGAGAGGCAGAACTTCAGACGGACGATGCTAAGGATGCTGAGCGAAGAGAAGGCGGCACCAGTGCTGTTCTTAGCAACGGTCCATTCCCTATGTGAGTGGTGCAGCGCAAGCAATGTGGACTTGAGAAACACAATGTGCTCCGGTGCTGTCTCGAGTAACAGTTCTATGGATACGGACGCCTGGAATAGCGTGGGCTTCTTAGTGCAACGATCGACTCCACTGCCATGGACAGTAAGCAGGCTGCAGGACGCTATCCCTCGGGAACAATTTCAAATCTGCCTCCCGAACTGCGCTTCTCCTAAGCTCAAGTTGTGGCAGAAGCCAATCAAAAAATGACTGCCTCTGGAGGTATCGGAGAAGCACAACTCTATTGCGGGGGAGAAACAGAACAGGCACGCTGGTTATCCACACAACCATCATTCTCGGCCGTATTGTTCGCATTACGCTCACTAGGCGCCATAATCGCTACATGCCATCAAAGGCTACAGCCATCTCAAGTCAAGTTACCAAGCCAAGACCACGATTCACCTTTCCAGCTAGCACCTGACTAAGTACTCGAGTGGTTTGTCACCACATCGCTGGGAGCTGGGAGCTGGGAGCTGGGTGGCACAGGTAGCTAGATGTCATGGCCATAATGCCTCGATCGAAGACAGGGCCGCGTGCCCAAGATCAAAATTTCTTCAACGGCGATGACGTTCAAGGGCTGGTGACGACTGTGGCGCGGACTGCAAAGTGAGGGTTGGGCTTCAGGACTGTTGGTTCATGACTGCTGATTTCAGAGCGAGACCTCTAGTCGTTTAGCGACCATGCCAAGGGCCCAATTCTTTGGGCACTGCTTCCAATATCCTACTTTGAACCTGGTCTTCAACTCACCTACACTTGGATGTCAAATGTCGCGGCATAGCTCAGGCAATGGAAAGAGGGCAGTGTTTCCCTGCGATGTCTAGCTGCCCATCGATTGGTCGCAGGTCCAGATGTGTGCGGACGTCCCATTTACCTCCGGCCTGGTCCGTTCGCATGATGGCTTGGGGTTGCTGAAGACCGGCACGCCCGCATCAGGTTGAAGAGCAACCCGGACGACATCTCGGAAGGTGGGTGCGGGCGCGGAAGAGGGTCCTGTATTTACATCACCATCCTTCCGGAGAAGTTTCCAGGTCCCCAGGTAATCAATCACCTGGCTGCGTGGCGTTTGGACAGCGTTCCCGATACGCCGTGCCGGCGTCGTCATCCTCCTTTGACTGGCTGTCATTCCAGCGAGCAGAGTCATCGACAACAGGAAGGGACAGTCCCGTGGGGCGGTGCTAAAGCTTAATCTCTAACCCGTCGTGCCCGCCAGGATGGTCATGGTTTCTGCTCCATGGTTTTTGCTATGGAGGGTGCGGAAGAGAGGCAATAACAGAACACTGCTAAAGGGTGTTGGCAGTTCGACGAGGACTATCGAGCCTTTCCCTGCCGGTTTGGTTGCCATTGTCGAACTGATAAACACCATCCACTTGGACGAACACGGTAGCCCTGCGATTTCGATGTCTTGGGCCCCTGGTCTACAGTATCTGTCCGTCTTGTAAGAGGTTCGCCGATTATCCAATCGCCCACCAAAGCTGCCAGGCAGTCCCAATCAACTTGCTTCGTCGGCGCCTCTGTACATACATCACTAAGTACACAACATGCCAGTCTAGGCCGCCACGACAAGCCACGCGACATCTAGCTAAAGCCCTGCGAGTAAAGGGAAATTGCCGCGGGCAATGCCTAGCTGAGACAAGAGGTAATCCGAACCGACTCATTACACTCTCAGCCCACCGAGGCATCGTTGTACCTAAGCCAGGTCCAGTCTCACTCTGTGTCCCATCTGATAGCCGAGTTACCTATATCTCCATGAATAGGACTCCCGCAACGTCGTACTGTTGCAGCGGAGAACACGAAAACGTAGGCATGCACGATCATCTCAATTCCACAAGTCCAGGCAGCTTATCGGAATCCCAAACAATGCCGGTTGGTAGTCAGCCCAATGAAATACAAGACATGCGCGCCCTGCGGTGACCGGGCGCTACGGTCTCATCCTGGGACCGAAGACCTGCAAGCAGCCGCGAGTACCTACGGATACAGGGCTGAACAGACAGTGACCAGATATCGCCGGGTATGGATGTGGCGTTGCCCTTTCCGGCAACATGCATACACATGCTGACACGAGACAATGCGACGGCAGCACATTGTGGACTAAGCCGGCCGGCAAGGCTCGACTTTGAAGTAGGTAGAGTACCACGAGTACCATCAAAGTGGCGTGCTGAGAAGGATGAAGGCGCACCGTTGCTTGTATCCATGTCTCAGACGCCTTAACACTAACGGTCTAGGTATTCCTTTTTTCTCTTTGTATGCCCCATTCCCTGATGCATTCTACGCCGCTGCTCAGCAGAGCTACTGGCACTACATGTACAGCAGGCCGACTTGTCATGACATCTAGTTGGTCTACGCAGTCTGCAAGACGGCCGGCGAGCAAGGGGCGGGGCCATGCCCGCTGTGTCGGTAACTTCAACTTCCTTCACGAACCACCTCCCCTCCATTATGACCTCTTCTGCTGCCTACGGCGGTCATATGACTCAAAGGCGTACAATTGATAGTTGCCAGGATTATAAGCTGTCATCTTCGAAGCATCCTTTGTTTACTGGGATAATATCGGGCAAACAGCTGGCGGTGAAGAACTGCAGCCTTGGCCGCGAAAACACAAACGTCCCAACATGGCCTGCAAGGCCGAGGCAACCTGCATTCGCAATTGCTACGACTCAGGTTGCGCCGTGAAGATTAACTCATGCGCGTCGTCACGATTTTGAAGCCCAAGGTCTTGCAACTCTAAGGCACGGCATAAATGCTCCCATTGTCAATACGCCAATATCTCTTGCGGCGTATGCAGACGCCCGTCGATTCCGCCTCCCCTCTCACCTGACTCACACTTGATCCAGTTGCAAGATCATAACCCCAGCCACCATTCGCTCACTTGGCCATATTATGCGAGGAAGTCAGACATAACAGCACGAGAATCGCGAGGGAATCTTCGCATTGCTTAGGCCTACCTACGTACCTACCTACCCGTCTCCCTTGGGATGCGGCCGCTAAGGCCTGACAGCATATCTCCCCGCTCCGTACCCCTCTCAGCCGTCACTCAGCAGGAACTGTGCCGTTCAGGTGCAGCATCGATCACGGTACAATAGACATGTCCACAAGATCCTTTATTCGTCTTGGTGCGTATTTGGACCAACGAAAAGATTAGGATCTCAGTCCTTCCGTGGACTAGCATTGAGGGGAAACGTTTTGAGTGGCCAGAATCCGCAGCCAACGTATAGGCGGTTCGACAATGTCGACTGCAGCTCCCTCCGGAACTCGATGGAATGGCCCACGGCGTTTATCGGTTTTCGAATCTGTCAGATGGCACATGGCTTGCTCCGTGACGGCCAACTGCGAACTCCTACTCTGCACTTCATGCGCATCAGAGTAAGATCCTTGTAGTATAGTAGCAAAATCTGCAGCTTATCTTGGGGTCCTAATTCCACCGGCATCATTGAAGCCATTATCCGTATTCAATGCTACAAGCTACGATAGAGGCGCCTCACTCATATCAGCCTTGCGTCTACTAAGATCTGCACGGTTGGTTCGTTCTCTCCAACGGCCCTCGGACATTGACGTCCTCCCCACGCTACCTGCCACACAAGCGATCCGGCTTGCTACGCCTCGTGCTGAAAGGCTCTTTCGTCGCTGTAGCGAAGCTTACATCGGATGGGGGCTATAGCAGGGAATATCAACTGTGCCCCGGGCATATTTCGTACACACTTTGTGACCTAAAGGCGAATACACGCCGTGATGAGAGACAGGCATCGAGGAAGCGGTGTGTCGGCCGTATGGTTGTCCGGTAGGTTCACAACAGAGCCTCCGGAACACGAGACGATGCCAAGGTCCGTACGGAGGTGAAGCTAATCTTGTGGCCGGTCAGGCTTCCGAATCAGTCGGTCGTCCGCCGGGCGAAGCGGGGCCCGTACCGAGGTGTCGGTTTTAGCGGGCACGGGGGCAGGCGTTCGGAACTTCAAACTGGCACGCGGAGTGATACCACTTGGTCCTGACAGGGCTGATAGCTTGGTCGATTTGACTCTTTCCGGGTTGTTACTCTTTACTTGAAGCTGATCTGCTGCCTTTCGGACCCATCCTATCAGCATCGCCACCCCCGTTGTCTCGATCAGTCATTTCCTCAGCAACAGATGACTATTTGGGAATGCTGCGTCACTTACGGAGTACTCACTCAACATCCGACATCAAGCCCACCTTGACAGTCGCAAGAGCCTACATAACAAGTACGGAGTATGGGTTGAGGAATTCGCAGCATCAGTGGCCTTGGGTACAACGGCACGAACTCCCGGTGAATGGGACCTGGTTTGGATACGGGCCCCCACTTCACTACCAAAGAGGATAACTTTCAAAAGTCCAAAGAGTTTCGTCATTCTCGTGTCTTGAGGACAGGCATCAGCACGTCTTTACCAGCATTTTCAATAGTTCCGGGGCTCTGCTGCATCTAGATCCGCGGCTGAAGCCTGGCCACTGCGTGTAACCCGCATGGCGTTGTGCGAAGTCGAGGGTCGTTACACTCAAATTGTCAGCATTGTGAAGAAAAATTAAAAATCGGCATGGCTTCTTCATCGGGACACGGAGCGAGGACGGAGGGAGTGCCCCATTCGGCAAGCGCATGGAAGCGGTCTAGAAGGATTTCGGAAGTTTGCGTGGCCTACCCGCCTGGCTGCCTGTCATCAGCTCATGTCGGTGATCCCTTCCAGTCAGCATTTAGTTACCGGCTTTTTCAGCTCTCGACGCTTAACTTGCGTGGAGTTGAACAAGATCGCTTCCAAGTTGCGCGAGACGTCGTGCCACCATCACGTACCACAAAGTGGGTATACGAGTACAGAGGCCCAAGAATGACTAGCCGTATATGAAGTCTACGACGTTGCATGACAAGGTCGCGCAGTTTGACTCGCTGTCGAGAAGCCTTATTGGGCACGACAGGCGCGTCGACGGTGGTCCTCAGTAGGAGACTTTTGGTTGGATCGACGGCGATGATCTGCCGTCCTGGCCCCAAAGCCCAAAGGGCCCCGCGGTAGCACCGGGCGAGGGGCATGACTAGGACAAAAACCGAACAGGGCCATGCCTCGGGTTCTGAAGTGTGTAATTGCGCCGAACAGGCGGTGGTGGTGGCGTCTTGGAAACCTAGATTTCATCTTGGCTGCGGCTGCCTCTACTTACACCACCTATACTGTTTTTTTTTCAGCCGCCTAGGGATGATGGAGATGGGCCAGTTGGGCTGGCTAGACACTAGTGCCCCCATCGGCCACACTATGGGTGTCTCCGGTCAACCGAGATCATCAGAGTGTCATTCTTCTGGCCAAGGTGGTTCACATCAAGCGACGATCGAGAGGCACGGCGGCATGGAAGCATGGCAGAGGAGAGCCAGTCGTCAAGGAGTATCGGTCTTTGTCCCATGCCAACCGAACCCACCCCTGAGATCTCCAGTTCAAACGAGCTGCGCCCAGCGATCAGCCATGCCGGAGCAGTAACACCCGGGATGGAACCTCCCATCGGCGCGAGTGCAACAACGCAGGCAAGCAGAGATCAACTTGCGACGCGCATGTTTCCTGGACCTGTCCGGACACTTGTTGTGAACGGCCGGGAAGATGTCGTACTGCTTCATTGTCCATTCGTCGCTTTCCCGGCTGGCGTTCGGTGCTTACGCGGTCCACGGAGGTAACGGTAGAGTGGCGGCGGGGACACACACGGAGCATTGACAAAGTTGCAAAAGCAGCAGCCCCCTGGGCCCCTTTCGAAGGGGCAGGCAGGTCTATGGGATACATACCAAGCTGCCCATGATGAAGCAAGTTTCTGTCAACAGCAAGATTTCAGTAGTCATCCTCATCCAACAAGGACAATTCCTGACTGAGGAGAGTTTAGCCTTATGGTCCCCCTTGCAGGCACCACGCTCACGGCATTGGGTTCGCAATGGCGTCGCACCAGGCCAGGTGGGCAACGGCTCGTCGATGGCCTCCCAGACGGACAAGCGCTGCCCATCCGCCCCTGGGCCTCCGTGTGCGTTCCATGGGTTACGCGTGCTCCTCGCCGGGCCACAGCCAATAGCCGGCGGTGCCCCGGCCGGAGGTATTGCTCTCTTGGAGTCCCGTCACCGGCGTCTCGACTGCCGGAAGCCCTAACCATCATCTCCTTCGTCTATCCTTGCAGCCCCCATCCTTGGACGACGACCTCTCCCACGGATTGCACAGGTATTAGCTGTTAAACTGTTCCCTTCCTGCTGGGTACTACATAAAATCCCGCGACGCCCCCGTTTTAGGGAGATTGGCATCATGGCCCTGTCCCCCCCGGGGGCCCCCTCTCTGTCCCCGACCGGCCGGCCCTGTTTGTGGATACCTCTACTCTGAATTCGACATTGGATCACCGGCACGAGTGTGGCAGTGCAAGAAGCAATGTCCAGGAGGTTGCGAGCGTTCTCGACGAGTCATATTCAGCCTTTGGTAGAACCTCCAACCTAGCATTGCGAGGGCTCCCTTTATGATGTATCGCTATTTGATAAACCTTTGTCTTGTTTTTGGCTTTCTGACAGGCACACACGCGCTTGCTTTCTCCTTTCTGGACCACTACCCGGTCGAGGGAAAGCTTTGAATGCACTTAGCTACGGCGGGGTTTCATGTGCTTATTTTTGAGTTCAATCTCGGCAGAACCTCCCATCTGGTACCTGGGACCTCATTCCTTGACAGCTTTAGAACGGCGATGATGAAGCTGCAAAATGAGGGGTTGAGAGGCCGCGATAGCAACTCATTTCCCTGTCCCGAATCTATAACCCAATTCGGCAAGGCGACGATGTCACTGACCTGAAGCGATTGATCGCTCGCAGGCTGGTCAAGAGCCAGGGGGGACGGTCGGCGACTAACCACGACTCCTGGCCTGGGTTTACACACCATGGTATGGACCTGGTCCCTCTCTCTCACAGCTTGCGCTAAATCGTGAAGTTGAGAAAAAACTCCCCTTTTCCCACCCCCTCCTCCTCCCCTTTAACGCCCCCCTTTCTTCTCTGCCCGGCTCTTCCCAGCCAGTCCCTGACATGCCGAGGTCGAGGACGGGGATGCCCTCTTGTTTGGGAAAGGCTTCAACCTTCTGGCAGCGTCAACAACCACGACGCGCTGATCAATGATCCCGCACTTTCCGCCCTACCGGCCACAGGCACGCCGCACAGCTAGGTAACTCCTCTGCCTGGGACACAACGCCAAGGGTCCGTCTTCCGCTAGGGCGGTGCGCTAACCCTCCAGTTGGGAACATGTCACACGTTTCGCCTGTAGGGCCGCGCAGGGCGGAAGGCCTACGCTTTTTGGCAAAGCACAAACCTTCAGGTTTCCCAAGCGTCCAAGGTCCCCACATGACGAGGAGAGGCAGCAGCAGCGGCAGCAGGTCAAGGTTCGGCTGAACGGGGGGACGGATACGGGGACCAGTGCCCAGTGTCCACCACCCGTTCTCGGTTTTTGTGTGCTGTTGCTTACTTAACCTGTATTGGTTGTACGAGGTTTTGCTAGACGTCTTCTGGAAGAACACGAGAAGGTCGTATATGCGAACTAGTCTCGGACTCCAAGGGGGGTGGGCACGAGGGGTCAACCACCAGAGCCTGGGGACAAGAAATGCCAAAGACGAGGCAATATCCGTGATTCAGCTGGCTTGACGGGCCTCGCCCCCTGGAGCAAGAGGCAGGCCCATTCCAAACGGAGTGCTTAGGGCCAAACAATTGCTGCTGACCATTTGACGACTGGCATCCTGTAAGCATTTCTCTGCCAGTGCCGGCACAAGAGAAGCAAGGCAGCGTTACGCGCGGGGTTCTTCCCATCATTACATTCTCCGATGCAACATCAAAGCTCAACTCTCATGGGGAGTCGGAACACGACCAAATCACGAACTATTCCCCATGTGTAGTGTATCGTCCGCTGTCAAATCTGCTTTTTTCCACACTGTTACACTACTCCATCATCAGGGCATGTCAGCGAAACCTGCGCCCGGAGACCTGAACCCTGCGGAAGTGTGTATATCAGATTCTGACCAAGGCTGATTCTGCCCGATGCCATAACATGCATAGGGGTGGGTGTAAGTATGGTTCAGTCCGGTCTAGAGAGTAAAGATACGGACACGGATAGAACGCTCTGGGGGCGACCGGGGAGGGGGCCGAGAGGTAATCAATCGGCGAAAATCTCGACTTGATCCTTGGAGTACGGACACGGGTGACGGGATCGGATAGGATAGGGAGAGGGAGAGGGCTGCCGCCGCCGCGCCATTTCTTTTCTTTCCCTCGCCTTCACCTTGGACCTGGGGTCTGTCCGTGGTGCCTGTCCCGGCCGGGTGCGTACGCAGCAGTCCGTAGGTACGGCTTGCTGCTCCATCAAAAACCCCGTTCCCACGTCGGGGATACATACGGATGGATCAACCAAGGGGTCTTGCACTCTTTTTGAGTTTGCGCCCTGTGGATGTTGCAGTTTGGGGGCCAAGTTCAACGAGGTTACGGGCAGGGCAGGGCAGGGCAGGCTGGCAGGGTAAGGCAAGGCAAGGCAGGGCCGCAGGGTTCGTCCGGGACATGGGCAAGGGGAGACGGACTGAAGGACTGAAGTTCTGCACTTTCTGCAGGCCTGAGGGACGCAGGAGAGACGGTGATTAAGTCCCTACGGAGGGGGAAGAGAACCCGGTCAGACGTACGAATACACGCTTCCATACCATGCCATGCCATGCGATGGTCCATGGTAATGGGCAACGACGATAACGAGTACGAACCGCCCTAGCGTTGCAGGCGAAGGGGTGTCCCGTTGCGCAACGCGGTCCCGGCATACATGTAGTGCGCCTGCAACCTGCGTATCCGTAGGGCGATGATCCCGTATGCTGGTGATGAGGATGAAACGCCTTTTACGGACAAGCTTCCTTTCTCTATCTTGGGGCCCGGGCTTGTTCAGAGGTTCAGAGATGCTTACACTACTTACACTTCACGCAGCGATCAGCGGTGCGACAAGCTTACTGTGCAGTGTTAGACTGCTGGTAACACGGAAGATACCGTCAGATTCTCAATCCTCTTTTTTTTTCTCTCAAAGATTTGAGAAGCAAGCATGCTCGGCCCTTTTTCAGGATGAATGGAGCATTGGAGCCATGAGTCTCCACATTCTTCAGCGTCCGTCTCTTTTTTGACGATTAGTACGGTTCTCCGCGAATTTGCATCTCCGGAGCCACGGGAGCCACGGCCCACGGGGATATACGGGGTTCAAAAAAGGTAATCACCGTTTGGCTGACCGCTGACCTTTGGTGCAAGATGTGTAATAAGGACTTTGCGAAATGGACAAACTACTAAAATGGGCTCAAGTTCCTGATCCTGAGTGTTACGTCACAAGGGCCTGACAAGTACTGTGCATTGCAGGTCCTGTTACTGCTGACTGTTCTTTAGGCTCTGGAATGCATTCTCTGGCATGCATTCTCTCAAGGGGGATGTTCCTTGCGGAAGATGCCGCCCTCGACGGCGTGTAATATGGCAAAAAAGAAGCGCGAGTATTGGCATTGCTTACGACAAAAAACTCTCTCACACCGCACTTTTGGCAAGTCAGGCAAAGAATCGCCGAGGTTCAATGAGGCAGGCCGCAAAGTAAGAAGGACGCTAAGACGGTATCTAGATTCTACTGTACACTATGAAGTACACTAAAACCACACAGCCCTGCCCGCCGGACCCTGGGTGGAAAGATTCAGATCGGACATGGTGTGGTACTTACTATCCGTCTCATCAACCATTCGCACGGCACACGCTTTTCTGAAGCTTTTACACTAAGACCAAAACCACGATGACCGCGACGACACGGACCAGAAAGTGTTTTCCCGGCGATGGCCCCCACGGCTTGCGACGATTTGGTGAGTTTTGTTGATTGATCGAGGTCGATCTTTGTTCGTCTCGAGTCTAGTATACTGTTCCCCCTGGCTCGGTTTTGATGACGGCCACATGGCACGATGGGAGGTGGCTTTCTAGATCTCCGATTTTGTTTTTACCTTACTGATAAGTTTTGGTCATTGAATGTTATCGACTGGCGAGGCTCTATCGTACAAGGCTTATAGGAGCGGATAAGTAGTGTTTAATGAGCTGGCGATCTACTCCGGTGACGATGGCTTCGCATCTAAGACTGAATAGAGGCATTTTCTTGTCAGATCGTTCTGTCTTTAGATGATACGGAATTCGCTCTTCTAGAGAGGCATCGAATCTTTCTGCTTGGGGCTCGTTACGTTGCATGCCCCGTGTACCGGACACGGAGGTCCATGTTGCTTGGGCGTGCAAGTTCTCGATGCATGTCGTTTTCGCCGGTGCAAAGCATCCGACTTAGCAACGGGGCAGTTCATTATCAACATTCTTCGTTGTTCTTTGATCATCCCTTCCAAGTCCTCTGCGACTAGGTTCAGGCATGGCCTCATCGAATTTACTTGTCGGGCCATCTGTCCTTTGGCTTTTGCTCTCGTCAGCTCCGCTCAGTCCATGTCAGATGGTCGTCCGCCGTCAGTCAAAAGACATGCATTGAACCATTTTCAATACTATTGAAGAAGTCCGGACATGGCCTTGAGGATACTACTGGGGCTGCATTATGCCGAAGCCTGTCATTCACAGGTCCTGCATGGGCTTGGCCTCTCTTGAGTTCCTGCTCAGCTGGGTATCCGTAAATTTGCCCTGGTCCGGAGCAAATTCCGTCTAATGGAGACGATTTGATTTGACAATGGGACTTCTGTCCTCTCTCCAGTCTACGCTGTCTTCCATCCCCCCTCTCTTCCCCCTTTGCAATCTTTTCTCCTTCTCGTCCCCATTTCCCATGTGAGGTTGTGGATCAAGAGTATGTGTCGTCATTACGATCGGCTCGGGACTTGAATGTAAATCTCTGCCCAAAGAAGGAGATATACCAACGGGGGGTTTCCCTTGCTGCGCCTACTCTGTCTGCATTTGGGTCATATTCCCCAGGGGCAGATTGGCAGAAGAGGAGCCGTATCTGGCGATGTTCCAATATTTCTGTTCGGCATTAACCGAACATTCAGGGAAGGTGGTAGAGAAAAGACTCAGGTAATCCGTACGGATACTCTCAGGGCAGGGAGAAGGCATAGCTGCTGGTCAAGGAGCATCCAACCCGCCTGGGGTAGGGGGGAGGGTCGAGTG